GTGGCTGGTTTTGTCTCCCGATTTTTTTTTTTTTAATTTATTCGAAAGATAGAGAGAGAGAGGCAGAGACGCAGTCAGAGGGAGAAGCAGGCTCCAGCAGGGAGCCCAACATGGGACTTGATCCAGGGTCTCCAGGATCACGCCCTGGGCTGAAGGTGGCGCTAAACCTCTAAGCCACCTGGGCTGCCCTGTGTCCTAATTCTTACAGCCTGCTGCTTTGTTACCTAGGACATTGATCTGAGCTTCCAGGCCCCTCAAGTACATATGCGTGAGATTCACGATAGCTGACCCATCTGAAGGTTGGAAAGGCTTGCTCAAAGGTGGAACCTCCATTCCAGCATAAACCGTCCTGAATTCTACTGCAGAACGGTTTTCCTTCTGGGGATGGTGAATCCTAGAGCATGGCCAACAAGCAGATGTTCCAAGTGGCTTCCTCTGAGACTTTCTCCCCAACAGGGAGCCATCTGGCCACTTGCTTTTTATCACATTTCTAATAGCTGCTCCATTTCCTCAAGGGCTGTTGTAAAATCATTTACTTGACTGTTATATAAAATCTGTTCTACGATCCGGGCCCTCTCTTCTTTCATCTTCAACTTTACTTTCAAGGCCTGGAACTGCTCCATCTGTTTTTTGGCTGTTTCTTTAAAAAGCTTCAACTTATCTTGCAAAGTTTCTAACAGCAACATAGAGCCCATGTGATGTGTGTGGGTTCTTGCTTGCTGTGATGCCAGGGGTCTCACTGCCTAAAATTGCCTTGCCCAACTGTGGTCCTGCAACATTTCCAGCAGCCCCACCTATTGGGTCAAGTACTTCAGTTCTTCCTGAGTTTCAGTCAACTTCAGTCAACTATAGGCAACTGCTTGGGGACTCTAGGAGCCGATTCTTAGCTTTGGGCTCCTTTTCTAATTCTGCTTATTCAATGCTTTGCAGCTCTTTCTGACCTTCCTCCTGATGGCAGTGTCTGCGGCTTCCACCTGTCCATTCTCTTATTTCAGCTTGGTGACTTTAAAAAAAAAAAAAGATTTTTATTTATTTATTTGACTGGGAAGGAGAGAGAGCGAGCCAGAGAGCACAAGCTGGGGGAACAGCAGAGGAAACGGGAGAATCAGGCTCTCTGCCAAGCAGGGAGTGTCTGTGGTTGAGTGTCTGCCTTCAGCTCAGGACATGATCCTGGGGTCCAGGATTGAGTCCCGCACTGGGCTCCCTGCAAGGAGCCTGTATCTCCCTCTGCCTATGTCTCTGCCTCTTTCTCTGTCTCTCATCAATCAATCAATCAATCAATCAATCTTAAAAAACAAATAATTATTAAAAAATAAAGTTAAAACCCTCCCCACAGTAAAATGTCACTATATCCTACCAGAATGACTAAAATTAAAAGAACAATGCCAAGTGGCTGTGAGCATTCAGAGCACTGTTAATTTTTTTAAGATTTATTTCTTTTTCTTTTTTAGAAAGGGAGATAAGTGGGGTGCAGAGGGAGAGGGAGAATCTTAAGCAGGCTCTACACCCAGCGCCGAGTCCAACACGGAACCCAGTGCAGGACTTGTCTCAACCTTGAGAGCTAAAATCAACAGTGGGACATTTAACTGAGTCACCCAGGTGCCCCTTAAGTTTTTATTTTTTTAATTAATCTCTACCCCCAACATGAGGCTCCAACTGACAACTCCAAGAACAAGAGTCAATGCTCTAGGGGCAGCCTGGGTGGCTCAGCGGTTTAGCGCCGCCTTCGGCTCTGGGTGTGATCCTGGAGACCTGGGATCGAGTCCCACGCCAGGCTCCCTGCATGGAGCCTGCTTCTCCCTCTGCCTGTGTCTCTGCCTCTCTCTGTGTGTCTCTTATGAATAAATAAATAAAATCTTTATTTTTTTTTATTTTTTTTAATTTTTATTTATTTATGATAGAGAGAGAGAGAGAGGCAGAGACATAGGCAGAGGGAGAGGGAGAAGCAGGCTCCATGCACCGGGAGCCCGACGTGGGATTCGATCCCGGGTCTCCATGATCGCGCCCTGGGCCAAAGGCAGGCGCCAAAGCGCTGCGCCACCCAGGGATCCCCAATAAATAAAATCTTTAAAAAATATATTAATTGATTTGGAAGATAACAAATGAAATAGGGGTACCTGGCTGGTTCAGGGATCATGGGTAGTTCCTTAACAAGTGGTACTTCTTCCTCGCTAATGGGAGTTTAAGTCAAGAGACAGATAAAATAGGGAAAAGTTTCTGGTTGCCTTTCAAGAAATATCTGTTGAGGGGCACCTGAGTGGCTCAGTTGGTTAAGGATTTGCCTTTGGCTTAGGCCATGATCCCAGAGTCTTGAGATCAGGCTGCTTCTGGCTCCCTGCAAAGCAGGAGCTTGCTTCTCCCTCTCCTTCTGCCCCTCCCACTGCCTCTCAGGCTCTCTCTCCCTCTGCTCTCTCTTTCTCAAAAAAAAAAAAAATCTATTGAATCAGACACTATGACAAAAATCTGGAGAGACGAGAGAATAAGAAAATGGGTGTGATCCCTACTTTCATCTAACACATGGGTAGGTTCCAGGAAGCTTCTGAAGCTTAAGGAATTCATTCTGTTTTTTCATACCCAGCACCTAGATATGCTTATTTAATGAATTCAACAGTAGTTATTGATGGAGGAGGTGATGGGGATGAAGATGGTCAAAAGGTACAAACTTCCAGTTATAAGTACTAAGGAAGGATATAATACACAACATGAGGACTACAGTTAACACTGTGGTATGGTATATGGGAAAGTTGTTAAAGGAGTATATTCTAAGAATTCTCATCACAGGAAGAACATTTTTTTTGGTATCTATTGTGGGTAGCCATTTCACAGTATCTGTAAGTCAAATTAAAAAACCAATATTTAGGCAGCCCCAGTGGCACAGCGGTTTAGCACTGCCTGCAGCCCGGGGTGTGATCCTGGAGACCCGGGATCAAGTCCCACATCGGGCTCCCTGCATGGAGCCTGCTTCTCCCTCTGCCTGTGTCTCTGCCTCTCACTGTGTCTCTATGAATAAATAAATAAAATCTTTTAAAAAATTATTGAACACTTATTATGGGGAGGCATTATTCTAGGCCCTGAGGATATAAAACAGACAAAATCCCTATCCCTGTAGAATTTACCTTCTGATTAGAGAAGACTACAAATAAAGTAAGTAAGGTATGAAGTACAAAATATACTGTTAGATGGTGATTAGTGATTTGGCTAAAAACAAAGCAGGAGGGGCACCTGGATGGTTCAGTGGTTGAGTGTATGCCTTTGGCTCAGGTCATGATCCTGGGGTCCTGGGGTCGAGTCCTGCATTAGGCTCCCCAGAGGGAGCCTGCTCTCCCCTCTGCCTATATCTCATCTCCACCTCTCTCTGTGTGTCTCTCATGAATAAATAAAAATAAAATCTTAAAAAAAAGGCTGGAAAGGGGGATTAGAAGCATGGATGTATGTTTATATTTTATTATTTCTGTCTTCCTGTACGTGTATTTGCATGTAATTTTAAATGAGGTGGTCAGCGAAGACCCAACTATCAAGGTGACATTTACATCAAGACCTGAAGGAGGTAAGGAAGTGAGTCATGTGCATATTTGGATAATTCTGTTTACAGTGTTTGTAGACTCTATGGCAGCTGGGAGAGAAATATAAAATTAATTGTGGTAATGTAGCAACATTCTATGAGTTGCAATGATCTATAAATATAGGATGCTTTCAGTAAATTACACAAAATTGTTAACAAGACCAGCATCACATATTAGCATTATCAATGTATATAAAATGAGAAACTATACAGTACAATTAGGGAATATGATAATGCACAATTTAGAGGCTAATTGTTCTGGTCTATACGGTACCAGAAAAACTGTGATTAGATTTTCCTCTCACAAGGAGGAAAGAGGTGTTTCCAACACATGGGAAAACCTTTGAGGCTTCAACTTGGGAGTCTGTTGTTTTTGTTGTTGGTTTTTTTTTTTTTTTTTTTTTTGTGGTAAGGTAGAGTATAATCAGTATTTGTGGATATAGGAATTATTCGCCTAGAGAAGCCAGATGATGTTATAGAGAAATCATTTGGAAACCCACGAGTTATTTGCCTGTTGCTGGGGCCGAAAGGTCCCAAAACCAAGTCTCCTTTTTTTTTTTTTAATGTGTATTTCATCGTCATTCGAAGATGTAGAACCTGCATTATTAGCCTTTTTAAACAAACAAACAAACAAACAAACCGTAGTAGTTTGAATTTCACCTAGATCTTGGGATTTCCGAATCACTCTGAAGGAGGTCTTTCGGGACCTAATCTGGGTTGTTTAAAACATTTTTTTTGGGGGGGGGATAAGCAGGTTAGGACCGGGCAATCTGTCTCTTCATAAGAACTCTTAGGAGCTTCCTGGCGCAGCAGGGATTTTTTGCAAAATTGTGCTTTCACACAGCGGATCATCCCGCTAGAAAGCACTCCCCTAACTCTGAAAGCTTGCAATATACACTCACGTTCCGCATCTCAGCGAAGGAAGAAGGCCCGGCTCCTGTTGCTTGTCTGTCGAGGTACAAGGAGGGTGTGTCATGCGCCCAACGCTGGCCGAGCACCATTCCATTCACTCATTCATTCATCCATCAAATATTTTATTACGCGCATAATTCAGTGCCAAACCGTCGTCGCCCACCAGGTGATCCCGGACGCCTGCGGGTACGGTGCGGGGAGCCGAGGACTTCGGATTCTCAGGCCGAGTCTTCCCACCCTTTCCGTCGGTGGAGCTCCGAGACAAAGAGGAGCGCTCCTGCAGCTCCCCGGGCTGGAGGGTTTCGCCCGCAGCCCCGGGGGCTTCGGCGCGGCTGCTTCTCCACTCCCCAGCCCGAGGGGGCGCTGCAGCGCCGCGCGCCCCGCTCGCCCCTGCGCCGCGCTCCGCTCGGCTCGGCGCTGCGGGCGGCACCGCGGTGGTACGTTCCCCCTCGCCGCCCTCCCCCTTCTGCTCCTCCTCGGCCCTCCCCGCCGGTGGTAGGTGCCGGAAGTGCCGCCATTTTGGGGTGTTCTGCTCTGGCGGCAGCGGCGGCAGCGGCGGCGGGACGCGGAGGCTCCCCCGGGACTCGGCCTCAGCAGCGAGGCGGCGGCGGCTGCGGAGGCGCAGGCAGCAGCTGAGGCAGCGGCGGGCTCAGGTGCAGCCGCTGGTGAGTGCGGCGGCCGCGGGTTAACGGGCCGCGGGTGGGAGGGAGGGAGGGAGGGAGAGGAGGCAGGAGGGAGGCGCCGCGGGGCGGGTCCGGTCCTGGCGGCCGCGGGTCACAGGGCCCTTCGGGCGCGGCCGCTCCCGGCTCCCTGCGCCCCGGGGGCAGGTCGGCGATCTCCTCCCGCGTGTCGGGCCCTCGGCTCCCCGGGTCCCGCCGCGCTCGTCCGGCGCGTGCCCCCGCGCCCAGGGAGACCCGCCCTCCTCGTGGCCTGGCCCCCGCTCCCCGCGCCCTTTGCCTTCACCCTCCGGGTCCCCGAGGGCTCCGTTCCCCGCCCTGGGGTAGTTCCGTCCTCCTTTTTTTTTTTTTTCCGGCCGCCGTGCCAGATCCAGGCTGTCTGCCCGGGACACCCCTTCCTTCCTCCTGACGTCCCACGTGTTCTTGGTGTTGACCCCCGGAGGGGGGCTCAGGACCCCGGCCTTTGGGAGGGCGGTGCGCCTCCTCCGGAGCCTCGAGAGCCCCCCGGGTCCCCGCCCCGAGCCACTAGGGCCTCGGCTCGCCCTCCCCCCACATCAGGTGCTCACCCAGTCGTGGCCTAGTAGCAGGGCTGGGATCTCGCACCCGAGAGCGCCGAGAGCACACTGAAGAGCTTTTTTTGTTTTTTGTGCTTTTTTGCTTTTTTGTTTTTCCTCTAGGGACCTGGCTTTGGATTTAAAGCCGGTGGTGTCTTGGTGGCGGTCTTTGGGGCAGGATGTTGTTTTAATCCTTAAGACTGTGACAGCACGGGATCTGAGGAGCTTCTCGTGGGTTCAGGCTCATCCTCATGTTTGAGGGGAAGGTGGTGAGATTTTGGTCGGAGCCCGTTTCAGCAAAATGGAATCTTTTTCTCTCCGGCGGAGTTAATGCTGTACTTTATGACCCCCGAGTCGGGAGGCTGAATAACAGCTTCTCAATAGCGGCGGTGCTTTACAGTGTCTGCAGTGTAAGAGGTTACAGATACTCAGTGAATCTTTTACAAAGAACTTCATCTTTTAAAAGTCTTTGATTCTCTGTAGGTTGTGGAGAGGCTTTAATTGTATTCTCTCGCCTTTTTCCACAAGTGTTGGGTTGGCTCTTCCTCAAGTGTGGCGTCTCTTCTGGTGCTGTGCAAGTTCGGCTCCTCCTCAACATTCTTGCTGAGAAGAAGGTGTCTCCACGTAGACGCGCGTAGGGTTTCTTTCTGTTTGAACGTTAGTGAGTCCACCCGGAAGAGCACAACCATAGAGTGCAGAAAACTATTGGCGGGACCTCCCCCTCCCCATGCTAGTTTTATACTCTTCTAGTTTTACTTTACAGTATGTGGTTTCTCGATTATGAATTAGCTAAGATTGAAGCATTGCCGTTAGTAAAGCAAAGCTGGAGCTTTCAGCTGTTGCTTTAACCAGGAAGCTTGTGGTTCCCCCCAGTGGTTTTTTTTTTTTTTTTTTTTTTTCTTTTTTCCCTCTTGACTCTCCACCACCTGTTTCCATTAAGAATGGCTCTTGGCCCAGAGCATAGGTCTCAACTTTTTTCCCATTCATTCTTGTGCCCCGGGGTTTTCTCATCCTAAGATGGTATCTAGGCTTACAATCCATTAGCATGTAGGGCTGTTAGAGATGAGAGATCTTTCCCAACTCTTTTGCTTTTCAGATGAGGAAACTGAGGCTCCAGGGATTAAGTGACTTACCCAAAGTTACATAGCAACTATTCTTAAAATAGTCATATCGTAGTTTTTTTTTTTTTTTAAAGAAAGTATCAGGAGCAATAATGCAAACTGCCTTTTATGATTTGATGGAATGGGAAGGCCCCTGGGCTTGAAGTTTATAAAAGGCCTGGTAATCCTAGCTTTGTCGGTTGCTAGCAGTACAACCTTGATCATGTCACTTAACTGTTTTGAGCCTCAGTTTATTCTCATCTGCAAAATGGAGGAAATAGTGTCTATCTCTTGGGTGCTAATTCACCTTCAGTGCAGTACAGGTGAGACTGCCTGTGGTGTAAGAGGCGGACAGATTTTTGAGGCAGAATGTTTATTTTTCTAAAGATGTCCACCTAATTTTCTTACTACAGAAGCTAAGATTTATTATAAAAAATACAGAAAAGAAATGAAGAAATTCACCGTTAGTCCCCTCACTCATAAATGACTGTTCTTGGTACTAGACAGATGTTTATTATTTTAACAAAATAAGCTTTTCTTACAGTTTTGTGGATTTAAGATTTAATAGTATATGAGAGACATAGTTTAACAAACAATTTATTACTTTTTTAAACAAATACATTTTAAATGGTGCTGTGGATTTCATAGCTCCAACACATGTAAGGTGGGACAGTGGATTCCAACACAGGCACAGAAAAAGTTGCTTGCTTATTTATTTATTTTTAAGATTTTATTTTTTTATTTGAGAGAGAGAAAACGTGTGTGTGGGCAGGAGGAAGAGCAGAGGGAGAGGGACAAGCAGACTCTTAGCATGGAGTCGGATGCTGAGCTCAGTCTCATGACCCTGAGATCGCCACCTGAGCCGAAACCAAGAGATGGATGCTTAACAGATTGAGCCACCCAGGTGCCCAGAAAAGTTGCTCTTTTAAACATATGCTGGGATGGAAGAAGAGAAGGAAAGGAAGGGCAGCGATCTAACATTTATCGTATGTTTACCACGAAAAAAAAATTTTTTTTTCCCCATGAAAATTTGGGTTCTCCTGCTAAATGTAGGTGGTGAGTATCCTGAATTCTGTCTCTCTTCCCATGACTGCCACTGCAGCTTCTTTTAACTTAATTTTCTTGTAAGACTGGACTTAGTAAAGAAGGAGGGGACGTTAGAAGGTGATGGTATGCCTTGGAAAGGAAGAGAAGAGCTGTCACGTGGAGGCCCTGGTGAAGAAGTTGGGAGAAGTAGGATCATAGTCACCTCTGTGCTCAAGGCTCAGGGTACTTTGGACAAATTGCTCTTTTTAAGCCATGGAATCATAGGATTTGGGTAAGCTTTTTCCTTAGCTTTTTTTTTTTTTAAAAAAGATTTTATTTGTTTATTCGTGGGAGACACAGAGGCAGAGAGAGAGGCAGAGACACAGGCAGAGGGTGAAGCAGGCTCCACTCAGGGAGCCCGATGTGGGACTTGATCCCGAGTCTCCAGGATCACGTCCCAAAGGCAGGCACTAAACCGCTGAGCCGCCCAGGGATCCGTATTTTTTTTTTATTTTAAAACAGCTTTATTGAGATATAATTCACCTACCATACAATTTAGTGAGTATTGATCTATTATATTATTAATTTAAAAAAAATTGTAAAGGCTGCTCTTTATGCCCATGGATCCTGTCCTTGTGCTTTAATAAATCACTGTTTTTGCACCCCACAAAAAATAATTATAGTAAAATACATATAACAAAAATTGGCTATTTTAGCCATTTTTTATATTTTCCTTTTTTTTTTTTTTTAAGATTTTATTTATTCATGAGAGACACACAGAGAGAGGCAGACAGAGTCAGAGGCAGAGGGAGAAGCAGGTTCCATGCAGGGAGCCCAATGTGGGACTCGATCCCGGGACTGTAGGATCACGCCCTGAGCTGAGCCACCCAGGCATCCCTGCATTTTTTTTAATGTAAAAAAACCACATGGGGATCCCTGGTTGGCTCAGCAGTTTAGCGCCTGCCTTTGGCCCAGGGCGCGATCCTGGAGTCCTGGGATTGAGTCCCATGTCAGGCTTCCAGCATGGAGCCTGCTTCTCCCTCCTCCTGTGTCTCTGCGCCTCTCTCTCTCTCTCTCTCTCTCTCTCTCTCTCTCTCTCTAAATAAATAAATAAATAAATAAATAAATAAATAAATAAATAACAAACAAACAGATAAATCTTAAAAAAACACACACACATAAAGTTTACTATTTTAACTTTTTGAGTGTGTAGTTCTGTGGCATTAATTGCAGTCCTGTTGATGAGAAACATGTCTCCAGAACTTTTTCATCTTGGAAATCTGAAACTTTATACCTATTAAACAACCCCCCCCCAACTTCTGGTCACCACCAATCCATTTTCTGTTTCTGTGAATTTGACTGCTTTTGGATACCTCATATGGAGTAGATTCATACAGTATTTGGCTTTTTGTAACTGGTTATTTCATTTACCATGATATCTTTAAGGTTCATCCATGTTGTAGTATGTGAGAGGATTTCCTTACTTTTTTTTTTTTTTTTTAAGATTTTATTCATGAGAGAGACAGAGAGAAAGGCAGAAACATAGGCACAGGGAGAAGGAGGCTCCCTGCAGGGAGCCCGATGGGGGATTCACTGGATCTGGGACTCCAGGATCACACCCTGAGCCCAAGGCAGATGCTCAATTGCTGAGCCACGCAGGCATCCAGATTTCCTTACATACATACATACATACATACATACATTTATTTTTTTATTTATTTATAAAGATTTTATTTATTCATGAGAGAGACAGAGAGAGAGGCAGAGACACACAGGCAGAGGGAGAAGCAGGCTCCATGCAGGGAGCTCCATCCAGGGTCTCCAGGATCACACCCTGGGCTGCAGGTGGCGCTAAACCGCTGAGCCACCGGGTCTGCCCTGATTTCCTTACCTTTAAAGGCTGAATGAATAATACCGGGGCGCCTGGCTGATTCAGTCAGTGGAACATGTGACTCTTAATCTTGGGGTCATGGGTTTGGAGACCCATGTTGGGTGTAGAGATAACTTTAAAAAAAAAGGCCGATTAGGGATCCCTGGGTGGCGCAGCGGTTTGGCGCCTGCCTTTGGCCCAGGGTGTGATCCTGGAGACCCGGGATCGAATCCCACGTCGGGCTCCCGGTGCATGGAGCCTGCTTCTCCCTCTGCCTATGTCTCTGTTCCTCTCTCTCTCTCTCTGTGTGACTATCATAAATAAATAAAAATTTTTTAAAAATGCTGATTAATACTCTTATGTATATAAATATGTATATACATACTTATATGTATCTCTTTTATGTATATACCACATTTTGTGTATCCATTCATCTGT